ACAGGTGCCACCTACCTGCTTACCCAGGCACATGTGGTGACAAATTGTCCTCGGTCGCCTACTGCTGTTTTCCTCTACACACACACACACACCACACACACACACACACACACACACACACACACACACACACACACACACACACACACAGAGTTGATACTTTCTCTCAGGTGAACGTGTGTTCTATATCCATCATCTTAACAACATGTATCACGCAAGTCTGTTTCCTTATCACTTTCTCTCTCTCTCTCTCTCTCTCTCTCTCTCTCTCTCTCTCTCTCTATCACAAAAGTACTCAGTCGAGTTATTTGCATTTCGTTTAGCTCAATGTGTCTTCAGAAGAATCCGAGAAACACTTCGTAAGTCAACAGCAGAATTTACAAGAGTCATTAACACTCTAGCAAAACCAACCAAAATTAAAGTAGGTTTACCTGGAGTTTACCTGGAGAGGGTTTCGGGGGTCAACATCCCCGCGGCTCGGTCTGAGACCAGGCCTCATGGTGGATCAGGGTCTTAACAACCAGGCTGTTACTGCTGGCCGCACGCAAACTGGCTTACGAACCACAGCCCGGTTGGTCAGGTACTGACTTTAGGTGCCTGTCCAGTACCTTTTCTGAAGGCAGCCAGGAGTCTATTGGTAATCCCCCTTATGTATGCTGGGAGGCAGTTGAACAGTCTTGGGCCCTGGACACTTATTGTGTTATCTCTCATTGTACTCGTGGCGCCCCTGCTTTTCATCGGGGGATGAAATATTGCATCTCCTGCCGAGTCTTTTGCTTTCATAGGGAGTGATTTTCGTGTGCAGGTTTGGTACTAATCCCTCCAGGACCTTCCAAGTGTATATTATCATGCATCTCCCTCGCCTGCTTTCCATGGAATACAGATCAAGGACCTTCAATCGTTCTCGGCAATTTAGGTGCCTTATCGTACTTATGTGTGCTGTGAAAGTTCTTTGTATGCTCCCCAGGTCTACAATGTCGCCAGCCTTGAAAAGGGCCATTAGTGTACAACAGTATTCCAGCCTAGAGAGAACAAGCGATTTGAAGAGAATCATCATGGGCTTGGCATCCCTAGTTTTGAAGGTTCTCATTATCCATCCAATCATTTTCCTAGCGGATGAGGTAGATACATTCTTGTGGTCTTTGAAGGCGAGATCCTCTGACATTATCACTCTCAGGTCCTTCACATTTCTTTTTCGCTCTATTGTATGGTTAGAATTTGTCGTATACCCTGATATATTTTTAATTTGCTCAAGTTTTCCATATCTGAGTAGTTGAAATTTCTCCTCGTTGAACTTCATATTGTTTTGAGTGGCCCATTGGAAGATTTGGTTGATGTCCGCTTGGAGTCTTCCAGTGTCTTCGATGGAGGTCAGTGCCATGGCAATCTGGGTGTCATCCGCAAAGGAAGACACAGAGTCAGAAATGAGGATGAGAAATAGAATGGGAGAGAGTACTGCGCCTTGTAGAACAGAGCTTTTCACCGTGGCTGCCTGGACCTTTATTCTGTGTACTATTACACTTTATGTTCTATTTGTTAAGAAGTTATAGATCCATCTACCAACTTTTCTTGTACTGACTAATTTCAGTAAAACATCCGCAATACCAAAGTTCCATCAAAAGTTTGTTGGTTTGTATCGAGTAGTCGACCATGTCAGTGTCAATAAATATAAAGTTAGAGAAATTAGTACTGGTTAGTATAAAGAATCGCATTTAGTTCATATGAAGTTAGTATGCGATGTCGAGATTCCTGACACCCAGAGGAATGTGGCTGATAATCCTCCTGATTTAGTACCCTTTACCAACCAGACAGACGAACAACCTGATTATCATTATTCCCTCAGTACATGACAAGTATTGAGGAATCCCTAAGTTTCATTTATAAATACCAATTTAGATCCTTCCTCAGCCACGACATGTGTTAGCTGTTGCTACAGAATTTGACCCTCCTAGAAATGACCACTCTGCATATGTAAATCTGCACTCTTGCAGAGTTGCAGTTAAATGTAAATAATCTTATAGATAGGTAGTGCATCTAACGAGTATTTCAACTGTGTGTCTACAATGTCATCTTAAAAATGTTCAGATTTTTTTATAAGTGTTCACATTCTCTTCAGATTCTGAGATTTAACAGTAAAAGAGTTGTGTGCACCAAGTTTACCTTTTCTGTTAAACACTTTCTTCTTTGTAAATATACTTCCTCAGAATCTGTAGATCACATGAATACAAATCGATTGATCTCTTTCTCTATCTTGATTCCTCTTTTGTTAAACTGTACCCTTATTGATTCTATTATTTACCATGATTTTGTGAATTATAATTTGTAATGCATTACAGTCAATTTTAATCTTTATAATTAATACTTATGTTAGGTGATAAGTTCACTAGTATTGTATAGAATCAGCCCAAAGCCAAAATGCCTTCTGTCTATCCTATGTATAAGGGAGCCATATGTTGGGGACGCCATACATTAGCATCACTGAGCTGTCACCTTTATTACTTGTGTAGTACGCTTATACACTTAGATATTTCATCCACATTAGTTGTGACGTCACGAGACCCCTCACATGTGAGCCATAGGCCTCGCTAATACTCTCTGCTAGACTTGCAAGACTGTGACAGGCAGGTCTGAGCTCTCTCTCAAGACTTAATTATACTCCTCCAAGACATCCATCAGGTGTTTATCTTTCTCCGTAACATCCCCAGCGAATCCCCACGACATGTGTGTGTGAGAGAGATGGTGACCCTTTCTTCTTTCATCTGAAGTGATTTAAAATGTTGCAGACATATTCCATAATTATGAATTCTTAAGAGAGAGAGAGATAGTGGGAAGAAGGAATGAGGTTTACAGTCTTCCAGAATCTTGGTGGTGGTGTGATTAATGGTATGTTGAGTGGAGTGGTCAGGTGATTAGTGGAGTGTTGCACGTAGCGTTAGCTGAAGTAGTGGCCTGCTTCATTACTGTTTGTAGTGCACTTATTCTGCACTACCTTTTTTTAACCGTTTCCAACAGAAGCACCGTCCCCCGTGGCATTACCGTTGATACAACATGAAGACCGTCCCCCGTGGCATTACCGTTGACACAACATAAGCACCGTCCCCCGTGGCATTACCGTTGACACAACATAAGCACCGTCCCCCGTGGCATTACCGTTGACACAACATAAGCACCGTCCCCCGTGGCATTACCGTTGACACAATAAGCACGTCCCGTGGCTTACCGTTGAACAACATAGCACCGTCCCCGTGGCATTACCATTGATACAACAGAAGCACCGTCCCCCGTGGCATTACCATTGATACAACAGAAGCACCGTCCCCCGTGGCATTACCATTGATACAACAAAGCACGTCCCCGTGGCATTACCATGATCAACAGAAGCACCGTCCCCCGTGGCATTACCTTTGATACAACAGAAGTACCGTCCCCCGTGTCATTACCGTTGACACAACATAAGCACTGTCCCCTGTGGCATTACCAATGATGCAACAGAAGCACCGTCCCCCGTGGCATTACCTTTGATACAACAGAAGCACCGTCCCCCGTGGCATTACCGTTGATACATCAGAAGCACCGTCCCCCGTGGCATTACCGTTGATACAACAGAAGCGCCGTCCCCCGTGGCATTACCGTTGATACAACAGAAGCACCGTCCCCGTGGCATTACCATTGATACAACAGAAGCACGTCCCCGTGCTTACTGTTGATACAACAGAAGCACCGTCCCCTGCATTACATTGATACAACAGAGCATGTCCGTGGCATACTTGATAACAGGAAGCACCACCCCCGTGGTATCAGATCAACAGAGCACCGATCCGTGGTTACGTGATACAACGAAGCACTGTCCCCCTGTATATAGACGGCAGACCTTACATGAACACCACACAGTGTAGATGGCAGACCTTACAGGAACACCACACAGTGTAGATGGCAGACCTTACGTGAACACCACACAGTGTAGATGGCAGACCTTACGTGAACACCAACAGTGTCGATGGCAGACCTTACGTGAACACCACACAGTGTAGATGGCAGACCTTACGTGAACACCACACAGTGTCGATGGCAGACCTTACACTAACACCACACAGTGTAGTGTCAGTCGTCAGGCAGACTCCGCACGGTGTACATATATCTACAGTAAAACAGGTGGCAGCAATTATCACACTTAGCGGGATGGTGGTAGTGTCCAGCCACGGACCGTTTTTGTTTGGCTGGAAGTGTCCAGCCACGGACCGTTTTCAGGCTCTCTGGTAGTGTCCAGCCACAGACCGTTCATGTCTGGCTGGCTGGAAGTATCCAGCCACGGACCGTTCTTGGCTGTCTGGTAGTATAGCATCCAGCCACGGGCTGTTCTTGGCTGGCTGATAGTATAGCGTCGATCCACGGACCGTTCTTTGCTGTCTGGTAGTATAGCGTAAAGCCACGGACCGTTCTTGGCTGGCTGATAGTATAGCGTCCAGCCACGTACCGTTCTCAAGCGATTTTTGCGAAGTTATTTGTGTAGTAAGTTCCAACAAGGACTAACGAGGTGTGTTGTTATTAATTTCTCACATTGTCGTAACAGTTACGAGCCCGTTGACCGTTGCGAGCGGCACCGTAACCTGCCAGTGAAGTGTTGAGTGTGTGTTGTCGTCCCCGGCCTGCCTTGACGGTAGGCTTTCCTCTTGTGTCCATACTATCATGTTTTTTTGTAATGTAAACAGGGGGTACATTGGTGCTGCCACATAAACAGGGAGTCCCGAGGTGCCACATAAGCATGGAGTCCCGAGGTGCCATTTGCTTTTCCTTCTCACAGGTCGCCCACGTAGGCACCACTGTACGTGGCACAAAGGCACCCAGGTGAGGAGTGAGTGCCTTTGAACGGGGGGAAGGGTTCTTCATCCAGGGTTTATTTATGGCCTCTACGGGTTTAACGCTTTCCTGTGAGTATAATGTCAGTGCTATACTTCAACATGCTCAATTACTCACCGTGTCTTCTCTCTCCGATTCGGCAGATCGGGAGGTCCGTGACTGCCACCGCTCCAGCAATGCCTTCCGCTCGGACAAGATGCCGCTGGCCACCTGGGAGCCCTTCTTCTGTGTGCTCCTACAGGATGAAACTACCTTCACCGCCTACCGTTCAGAGGAGATGGCTGTGAGTACCCACAAGAGCTTCTTGTGTCCTTGATATCTTGAACATCTCTTCTTGTACCCACAACAGGAGGTTCTTGTGTTGTTCATAGAGCCCTTTGAACCTCTACTTTTACTCATAACGTGGAATTAATGCTTATAAACCTCCTGAACCTCTCTATTCGTACAATGTATATGTGACCTGAACCTCTCTCCTCGTATGATGTATATGTAACCTGAACCTCTCTTCTCGTATGATGCATGTGTGACCTGAATCCCTCTCCTCGTATAATGCATGTGTGACCTGTACCTCTCTCCTCGTACGATGTATATGTAACCTGAACCTCTCTCCTCGTACGATGCATTTGTAACCTGAACCTCTCTCCTCGTACGATGCATGTGTAACCTCCTGAACCTCTCTTCTCGTACGATGCATGTGTAACCTCCTGAACCTCTCTCCTCGTAAGATGCATGTGTATTGTCAAAATGTTTCACCTGCTCAGCAGGCGAAACAGGGTATGGAAGTAACCGCCTAGATTCGGCTAGGCTCCAATAATTATCTGTTGTCTCTCTGTATTGACAGAGTACTGCGTACTCTGATGCAGAGCGTGTAGGTTCTACTCCTGCTGTAGACTGCGATATATATATATATATATATATATATATATATATATTATAAAATATATATATATATTGGAAGGAAGGGGTAAGGGAGGTTTTGTGGGCGAGGGGCTTGGATTTCCAGCAGGCGTGCATGAGCGTGTTAGATTAGAGTGAATGGAGGCGAATGGTATTTGGGACCTGACGATCTGTTGGAGTGTGAGCAGGGTAATATTTAGTGAAGGGATTCAGGGAAACCGGTTATTTTTATATAGCCGGACTTGAGTCCTGGAAATGGGAAGTACAATGTCTGCACTCTAAAGGAGAGGTTTGGGATATTAGCAGTTTGGAGGGATATGTTGTGTATCTTTATACGTATATGCTTCTAAACTGTTGTATTCTGAGCACCTCTGCAAAAACAGTGATAATGTGTGAGTGTGGTGAAAGTGTTGAATGATGAAAGTATTTTCTTTTGGGGGATTTTCTTTCTTTTTTGGGTCACCCTGCCTCGGTGGGAGACGGCCGACTTGTTGAGAGAGAGAAGATATATATATATATATATATATATATATATATATATATTATATATATTAATATATGTCGTGCCGAATAGGTAAAACTTGCTATTTTGGCTTAAACAGCAACGTTCTTCTTGCCGAATAAGGCACGTGGAAATTTGTGTATGCAATAATTCCGCAAAAATCATGCTGAACCTAACAGAAAACATATATTTCATTGTGTTTGTTTATTATCAAATTATTGTAAACTTATCTAAAACATATTTAGTTGGATTAGGCTAAATTAAATTGCACTTGTTATAATAAGGTTAGGTAAGTTTTCTAAGGTTCTTTTGGTACAAAATTATTAATTTTTACATTAGCATAAATGAAAAAATATATCTTTAAACGTGTAAGATAAAATTTTAGAAGGACTTAATTTTAAATGAGATCTTGCTAATTGACCAATTATACTTATATATATATATTATTGACCTCTTTATCCATTGACATTGACAAATAAATGTTTTAATACGATAAGGTTATTATAAATTTTGATGGAAAACACGAAGAGTGAAGAGAGCGTGAAATTAACTTTTGTGCTGAAGCAGGTTAATGTTGTTAATGGTGAGGTGGTCACCTGGTGACTAGAATGTTGTTGATGGTGAGGTGGTCACCTGGTGACTAGAATGTTGTTGATGGTGAGGTGGTCACCTGGTGACTAGAATGTTGTTGATGGTGAGGTGGTCACCTGGTGACTAGAATGTTGTTGATGGTGAGGTGGTCACCTGGTGACTAGAATGTTGTTGATGGTGAGGTGGTCACCTGGTGACTAGAATGTTGTTTGTTGGGAGTTGTGTTCGCTGGGGTAAAATTCGTTGATGATTGAGTCTTGGTCACTGTACTAGTGTTGTTATGGTATTGTGGTCATCTTAGGCACACTGATGCTTGTGTGTGTGAGATGACGGTGTGAGGACGGGGTGGTCACCTGGTAGACCCAATGGGAGGTGGTGAGGTGGCAGCCGAGGGGATAGCAATTATTGGTATGGTCGCGTGGTCACCTGTCTAGAAGTTGCAGAGTGAGGTGTCAAGGTGATAGAATGGTGTGTAGGAAAAGTTGTCAACTTATAGAGTTTTGAAGGTGAGTGGTCCCTCTGATACAGAAATTTAAATGGTGAGGTGGTCTTCCTAGTGACTATAATGTTGTTGATGGCAGAGGTGTCACCTGGTGACTAGAATGTTGTTGATGGTGAGGTGGTCACCTGGTGACTAGAATGTTGTTGATGGTGAGGTGGTCACCTGGTGACTAGAATGTTGTTGATGGTGAGGTGGTCACCTGGTGACTAGAATGTTGATTTTGTGGAGTTGTGTTCGCTAGGGGTAAAACATCTGTGATGATTCATATCTTGGTCATTATCTCTGTGGTGTGTGTGGCATTTGTGGTATTTTAAGGCACACTGACTGCTGTGTGTGTGAGAGACTGAGGGTGGAGGACGGGGTGGGTCACTGGTAGACCCCAGCTGGGCCACAGGTGGTTTGCAGGTGGCAGCTGAGGAGATCAGCAATATCTGGTATGTCCGAGTCACCTTCCATCACAGTGCCAGAGTCAGGTGCCAAGGAGAAGCTGCGGGTGTAGGAAAACTCTCGAAACTTATCAGAGGTATTGTGAAGAAACCTGTATTGAGTCGCCTCTGATACAGAAAAATTACAATCAGGTATCAGCGGAGTCTTCCCTTGACAATCAGATATCAACAAAGCCTTCTACTAGGCAGATGAAAACATGGTGCTCAGAAGATGACATATTTCAACTACTTAATAATAGCGAGAATGAAGAACACGTTACACAGACCATCTCATATAATGTAAGAAACAAGTAACAGTCTTAGGAATAATAATAACGTCAGTTGATCTGTTATTTAGAGAAGACAATAAAACAAATGCAGTGAAGGTCAGAAAGATGACAGGCTGGATAATGAGAACTTTCAAAACAACAGAAACAACGCCAGTGATGTTGCAAGTGAAATCACTTGTGTTCTCGCAAGTGTAATAATTAGGTGTCTTTATTCAGGAGCGTTTCACCTACACAGTAGACTTGATCAGTCTAATACAGAGGTGATAAACATGGAGACAGCAGAAGCAGTGGAGAGATAAAGATGTGATGATCAACCCATCAACATTGAAGAAATAGTTCCAGTGAAGATGTGATCTACTTTTTAGTCTACAGCATTGTGAACACCAGTCTGTAATGTTACAGTGAACCTGGCACTGTGTACCTTGTTACAGTGAACCTGGCACTGTATACCTTGTTACAGTGAACCTGGCACTGTATACCTTGTTACAGTGAACCTGGCACTGTGTACCTTGTTACAGTGAACCTGGCACTGTGTACCTTGTTACAGTGAACCTGGCACTGTGTACCTTGTTACAGTGAACCTGGCACTGTGTACCTTGTTACAGTGAACCTGGCACTGTGTACCTTGTTACAGTGAACCTGGCACTGTTACCTTGTTACAGTGAACCTGGCACTGTGTACCTTGTTACAGTGAACCTGGCACTGTATACCTTGTTACAGTGAACCTGGCACTGTGTACCTTGTTACAGTGAACCTGGCACTGTGTACCTTGTTACAGTGAACCTGGCACTGTATACCTTGTTACAGTGAACCTGGCACTGTGTACCTTGTTACAGTGAACCTGGCACTGTGTACCTTGTTACAGTGAACCTGGCACTGTGTACCTTGTTAAAGTGAACCTGGCACTGTGTACCTTGTTACAGTGAACCTGGCACTGTGTACCTTGTTACAGTGAACCTGGCACTGTGTACCTTGTTACAGTGAACCTGGCACTGTGTACCTTTGTTACAGTGAACCTGGCACTGTGTACCTTGTTACAGTGAACCTGGCACTGTGTACCTTCCTGTTACAGTGAACTTGGCACTGTGTACCTTCCTACGTATCGTGCAGCCTAGAGTGATCTTATTACGGTGAACCTGGCACTGTGTACCTTCCTGTTACAGTGAACCTGGGCACTGTGTACCTTCCTGTTACAGTGAACCTGGTACTGTGTACCTTCCTGTTACAGAGAACTTGGCACGGTGTACCTTCCTGTTAAAGTGAACCTGGCACTGTGTACCTTCCTGTTACAGAGAACTTGGCACGGTGTACCTTCCTGTTACAGTGAACTTGGCAATGTGTACCTTCCTACGTACCGTGCAGCCTAGAGTGAACTTATTACGGTGAACCTGGCACGTATTACCATCTTATGTTTCAGTGAACTTGGCACTGTGTACCTTCCTGTTACAGTGAACTTGGCACGGTGTACCTTACTAAGTACCGTGCAGTACATATACCAGTCTATAATGTTGCTGCAGTGAACTTGGCACTGTGTACCTTCCTGTTACAGTGAACTTGGCACGGTGTACCTTACTAAGTACCGTGCATTACATACACCAGTCTATAATGTTGCTACAGTGAACTTGGCACTGTGTACCTTCCTGTTACAGTGAACTTGGCACTATGTACCTTCCTGTTACAGTGAACTTGGCAATGTGTACCTTCCTACGTACCGTGCAGCCTAGAGTGATCTTATTACGGTGAACCTGGCACTGTGTACCTTCCTGTTACAGTGAACTTGGCACTGTGTACCTTCCTGTTACAGCGAACTTGGCACTGTGTACCTTCCTGTTACAGTGAACTTGGCACTGTGTACCTTCCTGTTACAGTGAACTTGGCACGGTGTACCTTACTAAGTACCGTGCAGTACATATACCAGTCTATAATGTTGCTGCAGTGAACTTGGCACTGTGTACCTTCCTGTTACAGTGAACTTGGCACGGTGTACCTTACTAAGTACCGTGCATTACATACACCAGTCTATAATGTTGCTACAGTGAACTTGGCACTGTGTACCTTCCTGTTACAGTGAACTTG